TGTGTGTGTTTTTTAATTTTTTTATTTTCTTTCTTCTTTTCTTGACTTGAGCAGATGGTCAGTTGAATTCCTTATTGTAAATAGGCTGATTGATCAATTATTATCCACTGGTGAAATCTTTTCCTTTCTACACTTTGGTTGAAGTGCCCTCATGTCAAATCACCTTTGATGTTGTTTTGCAAATTCTCAGCGAAAGGGGCTTAAAAAAAAGCTGATTCCCAGATTGGGTTTTGTTTATATTTGTACTTTATACAAGTAAGATTCATTGTGCCTTGTAATTGCGGAGTTGAGGAAAAATAAAACTCAATAGAGAGCGCAAATGGACCATTTTGCAGAAAGCAAGGGGAGTCAGTGGGGGGTGGGGAGGTTTGTAATGTATTTCAGCTCTTTAAAGATACTCTGAATGTACATAGGAACATGGAAAATATAGATATATGCCACAGAGTCTGTGCTTTGTATTTTAAGATGGCTCTGGCAAATGTACTTTTTTCGGTACTTCATTTAAGAGGGGATGGGGGGTGGGGGGTGTCGTGATATATGAGAAATATTCACATATAAAAAAACAAAAAATGATATTTGCACACTATATTTTGATTGTTTTGTTTTTTGTACCAAAGACACATGCAACTGAAAATGGCAACTAGCCAGTCTAAGTAAGGTTTTGCACAGCTTACCTGACACCGTATTGAATGTAGGAAAAATGGTAGGGTCAGGGATTCTACTGAACTGTGAAATTTGCTTGGGTCCAATTCTCTGCAGAAAGAAGCATTCATTTGCATCCTCATCCAGTTTTGTACTGTTCTTTTTGTTCTCATATATATTTCTTTGACACATTTGTACCGCCATTCGGTTTCCCTCCACCGAAGTTTTGTTGCGTATTTTAAAGATGAGCTATAAAGTTAATGGAGATGCTTCTATTTTCACATATATTATCACAAAACCAAAAGGTTTACTATTCTTCCAACTATTCTATAGTTGTAGAGGAGAGTGCATATACAAAAAATTATACATGTTTATAGTTTGAATACGCATTAATCCGTGCACACATTAACCTTCTGAAATGATATGTTACTCGGCATGAAACATTTCTATTTTTGTCTTCTTACTCTTGAGTATTGTTGAAAGAAAAATTGAATTGCGTATATTTTTGTAGAGATTGCCTTTAACTTTCCTTTCTGCACTACCCACAAATCCCTCTCGGAAAAAAATTCGGAAATGTTTTCGAAAGCACTTATCTTGCTAAGGGAAATCAGATGATCCTTTGCAAATTGTATAAAGATAGATTGTCAGTTAAAATCCTCTTTTAAAATTGTATTTAACACAATCGTATGTATAACGTATATATACTTAATCGGCTGAATCTCACAATAAAAAGTCCAGGTTGTTTTTAACCCCACTATCGAAAAGTAAAAAAATATAAATAAATTATATTGTGCATAAACACAGTGAAGCCTTAAAATAAAAATTAAGCACACCTTACACCCAAATTCTCATTACTGTAATTCAAAAAATTCGAAATAGCATAAAAATGAAAATTGTACTTTACAATTACGTGCAGTAAATGAGAATTACTTTAATGAGCACTCAAGTGGAAATGTGCTTAATTGTCATGAAAATAATGTCATAACTTAAATTAGGCTTTATTTTCAGTATGGAAAATACAAATTCTTCCTGAATTGTGACCTAGACCGTTTTTGTGAGATTTCCCTGCCACCACAATCTCAAGATGCTGCAAATTTGTTCATTCGGAAAAATCTCTTCCAGGTGGTATTATTAATAGCTTGCTAAAGGCCTTTTAAAAGTGACTTTATTCTTGATGCTGAAGCTTACGGAGAAGGTTGTTTCTCAAATATCATTTTGATCAAAGAAGGGAAAATATTTTTTCCTTTAAAATCTAAACTAAGATTTTTGTAAAGCTATTTTTCTTTATTTGCATTTGGTAGCATAGTAAATATTCTATATACCGTCCATTATGTGTAGTAACTTCTGTTGTTTTGTACATAGACATGAATTTAGATTTATTCTAAATGTGGAAAATATATACAGTATATTATATATCTATAAATGTATAGTAAGTTCTATATTACATGTAAGAAAGCAAAAGCACTTTGTCTAGACAAAAAGAAAAAAACAAAAAAGCGTTCCCCCTCATATTTGCTGCTAAACCGACCTCGTTTGAATGCTGCGGTGTGTACTTGACTTTTGCCATCTTGACCAGGGCAGTGTGACAGAGAGGTCTTGAGTGGAGACAGACATTCGACTCTGACGTCACAATCTTCATTTGCCTTCAGTAGACATTTCCTATGGAAAAATACAAATTCTGCTTTGGATTTTTCTTCAGGTCGATGTACAGTGTTGACACATTCTCTCTGGCCAGAGATAGGTATTGTTGTCATTGATTTTTTTAAAGTAATTTTTTTACTTACTGGGGGAAATCTGAGTTATTTGAGAAAGTAGCTCAGAAAAAAAAAAAAAATTATATATAAATATATATCGCTGTACTGTAAGGCAGTTCCATTTGCCATGGGTAATCAATTGGACTTGTTTTTATTTTTATTTTTTGTCTTTAAGAACCCATCCATTCTCAAAAGACAGCAAAGCCATTTGTTATGGCGACAAAGATCGGCCTTTCTTGTGCCATCTACAGCTCAAAGCTACTCAGAGTGGCATTAGCTAAAAATGATAATGATTGTCCTGTAAAATAAGCTTGATGGCAAGTGACAATGAGCATACGGAGATGGAAATGCATGTTGTCCTTCTGTCGACGGCCTGCTGTTTTGAGAGCGTTTGGTAGTTATCGTAGTGTGCACACTCTCGCATTCAACATGATGTTGTGAGCTGTGCAGTTTAGAGTTTTAACCAGGGGACTCTGTGGCATTCAAACAGTTAAGGAAAAGGTTGCTATTTAAAGCCAGTATTTTATCTTTCTTTTTCTTTTTTTTTTTGCTGATCATGTTTTTATATAAAGAAAGATATTTAAAGAACACATACACATATATAAATACATGCACACATTTGTATATGTGTGTTTGTTTTGCTTCATAGTGTGATTCAATATTAAAGGAACACTCCACTATTTTTGAAAATAGGCTCATTTTCCAACTCCCCTACAGTTGAGTTTTACCGTTTTCGAATCCATTCAGCCGATCTCCGAGTCTGGCGGTAGCACTTTTAGCCTAGCTTAGCATAGATCATTGAATCTGATTAGACCGTTGGCATCTCGCTCAAAAATGACCGAAGGGTTTCTATATTTTTCCTATTTAAAACTTGACTCTTCTGTAGTTACATCGTGTACTGAGACCGATGGAAAATGAAAAGTTGCAATTTTGTGCGACTCCCATTCCGGCATAATAATCAAGGAACTTTGTTGCCGTACCATGGGTGCAGCAGGCGCAATGATATTACGCAGCACCTGAAAATAGTCCCCAGCACGCTCCCTGTGCAAGCAGGTGGTCATGTTGGTTATGTTGACGGAAGTTAACCTATTTTCAGGCGCTGCGTAATATCATTGCGCCTGCTGCACCCATGGTACGGCAACAAAGTTCCTTGATTATTATGCCGGAATGGGAGTCGCACAAAATTGCAACTTTTCATTTTCCATCGGTCTCAGTACACGATGTAACTACAGAAGAGTCAAGTTTTAAATAGGAAAATATGGAAACTCTTTGGTCATTTTTGAGCGAGATGCTAACGGTCTAATCAGATTCAATGATCTATGCTAAGCTACAGCTAAAAGTGCTACCGCCAGACCCGGAGATCGGCTGAATGGATTCGAAAAACTGTTTAACTCTAGGGGAGTTGGAAAACATGATGAAAATGTTTTCAGTGAGAGGAAGATGGACAATGGGTACTAACTTCCACCTGACAAATACAGATGAAAGATTTCCACAGGGACACAGATTAGGCTTGACATTGAGCCTGTACTGGTGAAGGACAATTTACAGCTGATCTAATGAGCAGACACACATTTTTCAAGGTGTTTTTAGACCTTGAAAACAAGTAAGCTACCAATAGCATGGTGTATCCATTCAAATCACCACTGGTCTGTCACGCTATAGAGTGTTTCAGGAAGGAGCTCTGTTTATCTTCCTGTTTTGGTTGTAGATGTCAAGAGGCGTGAATAAAGCAAAAACAAGCTCCTTTGGCACATATAGGCCTACACTCAGAGGCATTGTGGGAAAACCCTCTTTGCCTGCCTGAAATAGACCTGGAGCCTGAAAACCTTTGCACAAGCCAGAAGAGGACAACAAAAGATGGAGGATAAACGACATCCTCCACCAGAATGTGACGGAAACTGGCTGGAATGTTCTTAACCGTGACCCTCAAAGTCCTGGGCTTTATTTAGGGTGCATTTCAAAACACATCAGATTGCAGTCGATGGGTGGATACAACTTGAGAAACAGCCAGGAAACCGTAGCTTTGATAAGTACGAGTTAAAAATAACAAGACTGAGATCCTAGAGTTTCAGGCCCAGTCCAAATACATGCATTCAGTTTGTATTGAGCATAAACTGGATCCGTGTCTCATCTCTAGATACAGATACTGATTCGGTTTTGCCAAAACAGACTGAACAGAATTGTTGGTCGTCAGCAATACTAACAGTCCACCTTTCTCTGTCAATACCTTTCATTTGAAAAACACTTGCCTTCTGCACAGTCAGTCAAATTCTCATGCTGTATCTCTCTCTCTTGCAAAGTCTGCATGTATTATTGCTTACTCAGAGCTCAAACTAAGGACTCTGGCAGTTGGACCGGGAGGATAATTTGCATCTGTGATGTCTATAAATGGAGATGGTATTTGATACCGTGCCTGAGGAAAAAAACACTTACTGCAGCTAATTTTATGTCTTCCAGTCTCATCCCCTCTCCATAACATTCACATACAAAGGAAGAGACGCATA